TTTACTTCCTAGACGCACCTGTAGAAAGCCTCCTTCCCCCCACTTCAAGATCAGTTGGTGTCCCTAGTACATAATGAGTGTTTTCTTATTGCCATCTCCTCCAGGAAGGCGTCCTAGACTCCTTCGCCGCGCTCAGACTTAATCTCTCCTTCCTTCTGAAAGCCGCCGCGCGCTCTGCCGCTGTCCAGCACTGTGGTGCTGACCGCAGTCTGCTCAGACGCCGGCGTTGCTTGTCTGTCCTCTTAGCCTAAGACCTTCCTTGAGGATAGGGTGTGGTTTATCGATCTCCTTACCCACCCCGGTGCAGATCTCAGGGCCCTCCTCAGGGAAGAAGCAGGCACCGTTGGGAGAATTTATTCCGATTTCTTTGCTCTTTTTTGGGATAGGGACCCATGAGTAAGGACTTTTCCTACAGCAACATCCTAGGACAGAAGTTCTCCTGGGGCAGGGTGAAGTTGGGAGGGAAGAATAAAGGGGGAGTCCCCCTGGATGCCGACCACTGTGTCCCCCCTCCCCAGTTCTCCAAGGAGAAGTACATCCTGGACTCGTCGCCAGAGAAACTGCACAAGGAGTTGGAGGAGGAGCTCAAACTCAGCAGCACAGACCTTCGCAGTCACGCCTGGTACCACGGCCGCATCCCCAGAGAGGTGAGCAGGCCCGAGCTGGCAGCTGCCCTGGACCCTCCGGCCACTGCCTCCGCCAGCCCTGGCCCTGGCCCAGCCACCAGGAGGGCTCTGACCTACTGCTCGGCAGCTCTGACCCGGGGGACTAGGATGAGGTCTAGCTCTGCTGTTTACTGACAGCGAGCCTCAGTGTCCTCAGCCGTGAAATGGCCCTCCTGGTCAGAGCTGTTGGGGACTCCACAGAACAGGCACGTGAAGCACTTCCCGTGGTGTCTGACGCCAGCGAGCTGTGGATGCCGGCCTCGTTGTCCTTGGCACCGTTAGGTTACCGATCTCGGCACCAGCCTCTGTGTGTTTGGTTGGTATAGTCCTCGGCCTCCTCGGTTTGCGCAAAGCTGAGTTTCTGGCCTGTGACTTTACAGCCACAGACCCGGACTCTAGACGACCTGCTCCTTCCCTCGCTGGAGCCCTACTCCCTTGCCGAGCCCTGACTCTGCCAGCCCTGTGCTGGGCTTCCAGGATGCAGAGATAGAAGAGCTGGTGCCTTCTTGTGAGGGCTGGTGGCCCCAGATGTGGGCTGACAGCAGGCAGACAGAGCCCCGTGAGAGAAGTGTCAGGATGAAGCACCCAGCATGAATGAGGAGGGATACTGAGGGAGGCCTTTTTGAGATGGATAGGATTTCTCCAGTGGCAGGGCAGGAAGGGCGTTCCAGGCAGGATACTGGGTCCCTGCTCCAGGCCTCAGATGTCAGGTATCTCTCTTTAGTGGGTCCTCTGTGCCCTGGGTCTGGTCTTAGCACCCCCAACCCCAGGTGGCTGTGTGCCCCAGACCCCGGGTCTGGCCCTCTCCGGCCTCCCCACCCCAACTCCAGCCTCACCATGCCTCCTGCAGGTCTCAGAGACCCTGGTTCAGCGCAATGGGGACTTCCTCATCCGGGACTCGCTCACCAGCCTGGGCGACTACGTGCTCACTTGCCGCTGGCGCAACCAGGCCTTGCACTTCAAGATCAACAAGGTGGTGGTGAAGGCGGGCGAGAGCTACACCCACATCCAGTACCTGTTTGAGCAGGAGAGCTTCGACCACGTGCCCGCCCTGGTGCGCTACCATGTGGGCAGCCGCAAGGCCGTGTCGGAGCAGAGCGGCGCCATCATCTACTGCCCCGTCAACCGCACCTTCCCGCTGCGCTACCTCGAGGCCAGCTACGGCCTGGGCCAGGGCAGTGGCAAGGCTGCCAGCCCCGCCAGCCCTTCGGGCCCCAAGGGCAGCCACATGAAGCGGCGCAGCGTCACCATGACCGACGGGCTCACCGCAGACAAGGTCACCCGCAGCGACGGCTGCCCCACCAGGTGAGCTGGAACCCCATCTGTCAATTCTGGGTGTTGGTCATCGGGTGCTGGCCAGAGGAGGGGGTGTGAACTGGCCCCTGGAGCCCCACTGTGCAGGGAGAAGCAGAAGGAAGGCCAGGCTGCACTGAGCGGAGACCCAGAGGCGGAAGACCAGGGCTGCATTCCCAGTTCTGCCACTTACTGGCTGTGTGCCCCTGACCCTGCCACTCCTCGCTCACCTCTGTGCTCCCATCTAGAGAGTCCTCACTCAAGCCTCCCCTGGAGCCCGTTCCTGCCTCCTGAGGCCATCCGCTCCCACCCCATCTAGGCCAAGGGCACCAGAGCAGAGAGCACTGCAGTGCGGGACACTGCACAGGGAGTGGGGTGTCCTCGGTGACATCGTAATGACACCCGGTGGCCTCGGGGCTGGGTAAGACCGGCCCCAGACCACAGAGAAAGCCTCTCGGCTAATGGTGCCTGAGGCCCTCCTTGCTGGCTCTACACGGAGTGCGCTCAGCTGTGTTGACCTCTCCTGCCCCTGGGAGATGGGTCCAGTCCGTACCTCCGCCTCATAAATGAGAAAATAGGCTTAGAGAAGGAAGCTGCCTGCCAGCGAGTGGTGCCCCCTAATTTACACGGCCTGTCTGGCTGTCTGCGGGGAGACTGCCATCCTGTGCCACCAGCTGAACCCTCAGGCTACATCTCCCTGGGCCTGAGCTGAGTGCAGACACCCAAGGATTTGGACTGTGGGCAGCAGTCACTTGATCTGTGGTTTGGAACCAGTGAACATAAAGGGGTCCAGATCCACAGCCGCATGCGGCGAGGCATCCTGAGCCTCATGTGGGAGCAGAGAGGAGAGGCCAGGACAGTGGTCTGGCTCTGTCAGGCCCCCAGCCCGCCCACCTAGCCCCTCTCTTCAGGCAGTTCTCCAAGTCAGGGGCGAGGTCCACAGGAAGGGAGTGGCTATGCAAGTTGTAGACTGAACAGCGGCTCCTGGACTAGGATAGTGGGGACTAAGACCCACCCTGCCCTCTGGTTATCAAGCAGAGTGAGGGGCCCCCTAGTGATGGGCCATGTTTGCCCAGAGGTGGCTATGATTAACTATCATGTACAAAGCCGCCTTGTGGGGTGGTGGGGTTCTGGCTAGAGCTCCCTTCCTGTCTTTCTCCTCATGGGGACAGAGGAGACACAGAGGTGCCTGGGAAGCCTCAGCTTAGCCAGGTGTCCCCAAACCTTGTCCTCCTAGGTGGTCTCAGTTTGTGGGAGGGGAATGCTGGGTAGGGATGAAGATGGAGAGCAAGACGAGGTGGGGGGACTCCGAGGAGGGACAGCGAGGTGCATGAGAGGGACAACGGGGCATGCTGGCAGCGAGGTGGGTCTGGGTTCCAGCTCAGTCCTGACTTGTGGGTGACCTCAGCCCAGCCCTTCCCAGCTCTTCTGCCTCTGGGCTCCAGTTTCTGTGCCTGTCAATTGGGAGGCTGAACTCAACCCTCAAGTCTTTCTGCCTCTGAGGCTCAGGGGATGGAGGCGGGATCCCGGGGTGGGCTGAGGCCCTGCCCGCTGGGCCCTGCTCACAAGGAAGGTGTCTGCTCCACAGCGCTTCCCTGCCCCAGCCCCGGGACTCCATCCGCAGCTGCGCCCTCAGCATGGACCAGATCCCGGACCTGCGCTCGCCCATGGCCCCCATCTCTGAGAGCCCCAGCTCCCCCGCCTACAGCACCGGTATGGGTATGGCCATGTGTCTCTCGTGACCTCTGTCACCCATGTGTGGTCGTGTGCATTTCTGCCTTGCCTTTTCCGAGTACAACGCCCTGCAAGACCAGCTAGCGGAACTATGTATAGCAACACACAAAACATATTCCTGATTGTTCTTTCAACGATTTACTGGGCCCCTATTGGACGCCAGGCCTGGGTGTGGAATGGGTGCCTAGCATGTGCTCCAGAAGTGGTGAAGCCTGCTGGAAGTGGGCGCAGGGGAGGGGGGCTGGGCTCCCGTGCTGACGTACTGCCACACACGGCAACACTCAGCCTCTCCCATGGGGTGCTTGGCTGGGCCTGCATCTGCTGAGACTCCGGGGACTTGTTATCCCCGATTCCAAGTAGCTGGCTCAAACGAGGCTGGTGGTTTTGTTTGTTTGTTTATTTGTTTGTTTTTTAACATACTTTATTTATTTTTTTTCTTGAGAGGTTTTTGCTATAGGGTGTGTGCGCTCGCCAGACAGACAAGATAGAAAGACAGAAAGTGAGAAACCACCTCCCAGGCGGGACAACCATGCCGCAATCCCTTCTCCTCCATTCTCCTCTCGGGATCTTGGGCACGCACGCACACACGCCCGGCGTGAGTTTAAGCCACCGGGTCCGGGACATGAACCGTGGTCGACTATGTGGGAGTCCAGCGACATAGCCATTACACTAACTGCTGGTCCCAAGAATTAAACATTTTTAAAATTTCTTCCATGATGAAGAAAGTGAAAGAGAGAGATAGTGAGACCCCCCCACGGGGTCTTGGTGCCTTGATCTGCCCCGGCCAGCACTGGATCATGGGCACACGCCTGACCAGCATAGTCAGGGAGATCTCCAGGTACAAACCTGGACCCTTCTCACGTGGGCCAGCCTCACAGAGTGGCCCCTGTCAGGCCCGGAACAGAATTTACTTTGTAGAGCAGTTTTAGAATCACATCAGAGGCCAGTAGGTGGCATGGCAATTAAGGCCACTGGACTCCCATATGGTCGACCATGGTTCGAGTCCTGGACTCCCAGCTTGCTTTCTCACTTTCTCTCTCTCTTTCTGTATCTCTCTTCAAATTAAAATATAATAGGAACAAATCAAATTAATAAAATGAAATTTTAAAAATACTTTAAAAATAATAATTAATACAATTAAATAAATCTTTTAAAAAGAATATTTATTTATTTATTTATTAGGACCAAAGTTACAGGGTTAGCCCCACAGTCCAGCAGGTGAGTGTTGTGCAGTGAGAGTTGGATCCCAGATGGCCAAGTATGGTTCAAACCCTGGCCTAGCAACTTGGAAACCATACTAGGCACATATGAACATGCCCAGGATCCTGACTGATGGAAAAAAGATTATTGTTTGACCAGGCCCCACCATGGTGCTTTCTCTTTCTTGCATTACTCTCTCAGCTGTGCATATGCACAAGCCTTCTGACAAAAAGAAAAAGGTCTCAAATTTAAAGGATGCTGATAATAATCAAAATTATAATTTAATGAGCACTTATTACATTCAGGATTAAGCAATTAGGCACTAACTCATTTAATCTGTATAGCAATCCTTTGTAAACATTTTATATCTTTATTTTACATATGGGAAGGTAAAGTATTATGAGCTTAACTTGTCCGTAGATACAGAACTTCACGATTCAAATTTAGGTAGTTTAACTACAGAAGCTTCTACATACTTTATTTATTTTTTTTCTTGAGAGGTTTTTGCTATAGGGCGCATGCTCTCGCCAGAAAGACAGAGAGAGACAGAGAGACAGAAAGCGAGAAATCACCCCCCAGGGAGGATGGCCATGCCACAATCTCTTCTCCATTCTCCTCTCGGGATCTTGGGCACGCACGCACACACGCCCGGCGTGAGTTTAAGCCACCGGGTCCGGGACATGAACCGTGGTCGACTATGTGGGAGTCCAGCGACATAGCCATTACACTAACTGCTGGTCCCAAGAATTAAACATTTTTAAAATTTCTTCCATGATGAAGAAAGTGAAAGAGAGAGATAGTGAGACCCCCCCACGGGGTCTTGGTGCCTTGATCTGCCCCGGCCAGCACTGGATCATGGGCACACGCCTGACCAGCATAGTCAGGGAGATCTCCAGGTACAAACCTGGACCCTTCTCACGTGGGCCAGCCTCACAGAGTGGCCCCTGTCAGGCCCGGAACAGAATTTACTTTGTAGAGCAGTTTTAGAATCACATCAGAGGCCAGTAGGTGGCATGGCAATTAAGGCCACTGGACTCCCATATGGTCGACCATGGTTCGAGTCCTGGACTCCCAGCTTGCTTTCTCACTTTCTCTCTCTCTTTCTTTATCTCTCTTCAAATTAAAATATAATAGGAACAAATCAAATTAATAAAATGAAATTTTAAAAATACTTTAAAAATAATAATTAATACAATTAAATAAATCTTTTAAAAAGAATATTTATTTATTTATTAACTGCCAGGTCCGGGACCCAAACCGTGGTTGGTCATGTGGGAGTCCAGTACCCTTAACCAGCATGCTACCTGTTGGCCCCTAAATAAATAATTATTAATAAAGAATCACAGCAAAACTGAGTGGAAAGAACACAGAGCACTGTGCTTTCTTAAAAATACAAGGCAACAGTATTTTTACTGTAGAAACATGCCACTAGTTCATTTCCAGGGGGAACATGAAAGAATAAAAAAGAACGTTTTAGGCCAGCCAGTGTGGCATGGTGGTTCAGGCAGCTGGGTCCCACATGGCTGACTGCACAGTTTGAGTCCCAGACTTACTGGCTTGAAGAACACACCAGGTGGGTGTGTGTATCCAAAATCCAAGAAGGAGAAACAGAGAAGGGATTGCTGCGTAACCATCCCTGCAGTGGGGGTGCTGTTTCACCTTCTGTCTCTCTGTCCCTCCAGCAAAGTGCACGCACGCTCTAGCAAGTTTTTTTTTTTGGAGAGGTTTTTGCTATAGGGCGCATGCTCTCGCCAGAAAGACAGAGAGAGACAGAGAGACAGAAAGCGAGAAATCACCCCCCAGGGAGGATGGCCATGCCACAATCTCTTCTCCATTCTCCTCTCGGAATCTTGGGCACGCATGCACACGAAGTCACTGGGTCTGGGACTCGAATTACGGTTGACTACGTGGGAGTCCAGCAACACAGCCATTACACCAATTGCTGGTCCCCCCTTCTAGCAAATTTAAATAAATAAATAAGAATGTTCTCATCAGGCCACATTGTCCACGTGGAGGCAAGTGTCATGAGAAAGAGGCAGTCCCAGGAGGAAGCCTTGCCTGGCGAGACTGTCCACGCTGCTCTCTATATGCGTTGTCACAGACCCTCCCTAAGTACAGGGCTTTGCCATATGCACAGACCGCCTTCGGAGCAGTATCCCTGAGAATAAGAGTTACCATTCCTGTGTACTGGGCCACCTCCAAGTGACGCAGCAGAGCAGAGCAACCCGAAGTCAGGGTCTAACAGCTGCTTATCTCTCCCAGCTATACCCCTTACTGGCTGGGTGACCTTGGGCAAGTCAGTTTACTTCTCTGAACCTAGTTTTTCTCATCTGTTAAATGAGGATCATAAAGTTACTTACTTTACAGGATGTTGACAGGGTTAAATGGGCTGATATGCAAAGGATCTTGTAGGCAGTGGGAGCTGCCTCAGGGCAAATATCACCTCTTTTCTAAACATTTTTTAGAGCAATCCTGAGAAGTGAGAAAGCACCCTTCCTGGAGGTTGGTCACACTGTAATCCTTTCTCCTCCATTTCTCCTTTAGGGACTTTGGACACACATGCACATGTACCTGGGGTGTTTTTCAAGTAGCCAGGGATGGGAATAGAACCGCACAGCCAGCCATCTGAGATCCAGCCACTTTAACCACTGCCACTGGCTAGCCCTCACCTCTAATAGTTTTTTTCATTTAAAAAATAATTATTTTATTTAACTTTATTTATTATTATTATTATTTTCCATTTTGGTCAGACGGGGGGCGGGGAGTGAGAAAGCAAACCACCAGGTCCAGGACTTGAACCGTGCTTGGCCGTGTGGGAGCCCAGTGTCTTTAACCACCACACCACCTGCCAACTCCCTCATCTCTCATTTTTGCTGTTGGCTTCACTGCTGCTGACGAGTGCACGTGCAGCATGTCACCAGCTGCCGGTGCTACGTTATTACTAACCTAGGGGTAAAGTTCCATGTGGCCCCGTGAGGTCCAGCTAGGGTTCAGCTTCCTGGAATCACTGAAAGCCCCTCCAAGGAGTTCAGTGGCCCCCTGAGGGGGCAGTAGCTCAGGCAGCAACCTCAGGGTAGGGGTCCAGGTGATTTCAGAGAATCACTGAAGGTTTGGCAGAGTCTTCTAGGCCTGGTCTCCACCCATGCGGGGATGCAGGGAAGATGGAGTCTGTCTTTTGGGGAGGGGTGGGGCACCTCCTGGAGTGGGAAGCTGCAGTAACGAGTCCCCTCTCTCTGTCTCTCTGCAGTAACCCGTGTCCACGCTGCGCCTGCAGCCCCCTCTGCCACAGCACCTCCTGCCTCCCCCGTCACCCGCCGCTCCAGTGAGCCCCAGCTGTGTTCCAGAAATGCCCCGAAGCCACTTGGGGAGCTGGACAAGGGCCCTCCCACTAGCCCCTCTCGTGCCCTCTGCAAGGCGTCTCCATCACCGTCACTCAGCAGCTACAGCGACCCGGACTCTGGCCATTACTGCCAGCTCCAGCCTCCCGTTCGTGGCAGCCGGGACTGGGCAGCAGGAGAGGCCTCCAGCCGGCAGGCCAGGAGCTATGGGGAGAGGCTAAAGGAACAGTTAGAAAACGGAGTCCCCGAGGGGGATGGGGGCAAGGCCTTCACAGTCCCCACTGTGGAAGCCACCTCTTCCTTCAACCCAGCCACCTTCCAGTCGCTGCTGATTCCCAAAGATAACCGGCCGCTGGAGGTGGGCCTTCTGCGCAAGGTCAAGGAGCTGCTGACGGAGGTGGACGCCCGGACGCTGGCCCGGCATGTCACCAAGGTGGACTGCCTGGTAGGTGCTGGGAGCGCACTGGTGTGGGGCAGTACTTCTGTCCTCTGGATTTGGGCCAGGGTGGTGAGGGGCCGGCTCCTGCATTCCCCGAGCATAGAGAGTGGGCCTGGATTCTGGCTTCGCGGTTGTGCGCTGTGACTCTGGACTGGTCATTTCGCCTCACTGGCTCTCCATTTTTTCCTTTTAAAAAGCAAAATTCAAGAAACTCCCGCTTCTTCCTGATACCCATTTGGTAGTGGAACTGGGCAGTCCTGAAACTCAGGGGCGTCTGGCTCCCTCCCTGAGGCATTGGCGTGAACTTGGATGGAGTCCCAGAGTGGGCGGCGTCAAGTCTGCTGCCGGTCCAGGCATTAGCGAAGGCCCGACTCCCCGCCCCCACGCCCTCTAGTGGACAAATACAAATAAGCAAAAGCCTTACCCGGCCGTCCATTGTCAATGCCCAGGCCTTTGCTTTGTGGGAGTCTTTGGCCAACTAGGTTGACCTATCAGTTCTCTGTGTGGCTCGGTTTCCCGACTCCAGGTTTGGAGGCACTGATTGTCTGGTTACTCTGGTCTCAGAGTCTAGGAAGCAAGGAAAGAGGGCAGAGATGCTGCCAGGTGAGGAACCCTGGGCAAGGGAGAGACCCAGGTTCTGGACCTGGTGTGTGAACTTGGACAAGGCTTTTTCTCTGTGGGCCTCCGGTGTGTCGTCTGGATTAAGGATATCTTGGCCCTTGATCTCAAAGGAATATTTAATATGCCAGGCACCTCTAGACATTCCCCCTCCACCCCTCCACTTAACAGATGAGGAAACTGAGGCTCAGAGGGAATCACGTGCTCCGTGCCCCACGGTTAGCAGTGAAGTGAGGATCCAACCCGGCCTCCCAGCCAGGCCACCCTCTTAGATAAAGCTCTCTGACTCCCGGATGGCTTGGACCAGCCCTGACAGGAAATTAATCAGCCCTCTGGGTGTCCTTGCAGGTTGCTAGGATACTGGGCGTTACCAAGGAGATGCAGACCCTAATGGGAGTCCGCTGGGGCATGGAGTTGCTCACCCTCCCCCATGGCCGGCAGCTACGACTAGACCTGCTGGAAAGGTAAGGCCAGTTCCCGCGCTCGGGGACTCGCAAGGACACCCCTGGGCCACTCTTCCGTGGCTGTAGTCGGTTGACCAATCACAATCTCAGCCCAGCTCGCAGGGGTTCTGGCCACGCCTCCCAGTTCACTGACCAATCGTAGCCTCTCGATACACAACTCTAAGCAGTCCTGGTTTTCCCAAGACCGAATTCTTTATCTCCGGATTCGCCTTTCGCATCTCCTTGACCACTCATTCGCGTGTCCATCAACCGTGGCCCCGCCTATCAATTCCGGTCTCTTCGTTCATTAGAACAGCTCGGCCCAATGAATTCGACTGAGCCTGCCGCTCTGGGGCTCTGGGCCCGCCCCAGACTTATATTGACCAATCAGAAGCCCCGAGTCGTGCTTTCTTTCCCTCTGGCCGCACCCCCTTATCTCACTGACCCGTTACAACCTCTCACTTGGGCGTCCAAAGACCTGGGGCGGTGGGGCTTTTCTGTCCCCTAACTCTCGCGTCCTTGGCCCACCCCTCTGACGCGGCGATCCCGACAGGTTCCACACCATGTCCATTATGCTGGCGGTGGACATCCTGGGCTGCACCGGCTCCGCCGAGGAGCGGGCCGCGCTGCTGCACAAGACCATCCAGCTGGCTGCCGAGCTGCGCGGGACTATGGGCAACATGTTCAGCTTCGCCGCCGTCATGGGCGCCCTAGACATGGCCCAGGTACAGAGGGGCGTTCCGTGGACCGTGGGCAAGAGCCGTGGGTGCGTTCCTTGGGATGACTGTGTAGCGAGTCAGGAAGCACTTTGTGTTTCTAGGCTGAAAAAGTAGGAAAACTAGGGCAAAGCGAGTTCTTCACGTGCTGACCAAGTTCCCACACTCCCTCGTCTCTGGGCCTCAATCTCCCCAGCTGTCAAATCTATGGGGAGCATGTGTGTCTAAAGAGTAAAACTAAGAGCCAGCAGGTGGCGTAGTGTTAAGGCGCTGGACTCTCACGGTCTACTACAGTTCCAGTCCCGGTCTTGGAAATCAAGCTGAGTGTGTGTGCCCCAAATCCCAAGAGGAGCATGGACGAGAAGTGGCCTTCCCCCTGAGGGGTGGTTTCTCACTTCCTCTCTGTCTCTTTCAGGCAAACACATGCTCCCTATGACAAAAACCTAAAAAAAAAAATTAATTAATGAACTGTAATTTAGTGAGCACTTAATATATACTTCATGATAAGCACTTTATAAGCAGATTTCTCCAAACAGTGTCAAGAGGTGCGTACCTTTATTGTCCCCACTTTACACGTGGAGTAATGAGACAGGGCAGCACCTGCCTATGGTCACAGAGGCCAAAAGGATTAGGACTCGAACCAGGTCTGGCTCATTTCAGAGTTTGGGCCTCTGCTGTGCTGAGTAAATAGGAACAGCAGGGTCCCAGAGGTTCTGTCACTTATTTTTGAATAACCTCAGGGAAGTCATTTCCTTCTCTGAGCCTCAGTCCCCTCCTCTGTAAAGTGGGTTGCTGTGAGGGCTTCACTGGAGATGTTTGAAAAGCAGTCAGCACACTCCCAGGGACACAAATGGTGGCCGTCACCATAGTTGTTAGCCCGCATGTGCGCATCCACTCGGCAGGGCAGCCTGTGGCCAGCAGGCTGG